TAATCAAGACTACAAGGACACACCCTCATTACTTTAATAGAATAATCTTCTTTCTCCACAACATTGCAATATTATTATAATTATTAACAAATAATAAATATTGTTTTACAAAATATATGATATTTTTCAGCCTTGTCAATTATTATTTCCTTTAAAGTTATCCTGTCGAGAGAATAATCCACTGAACTATTGAATTGGTAGTTTGAGTTATAAACTAAGCCTTTAAAATCGAACAACTATCCTTATATATAAATTATATATAGCTCATATATAAATTAGATTGTCACAGTGCATCGTCTATAGTAAAACTTTAATAAATAATATAATAATACCATTTAATTTATTTTGAATTATAGTAAATTATATACGTTATTTTTTTTAATTTTCATACATTTTTTACGATGACCACATTATTCGCGGCAAGAACTCAACTTACATAACCTATTATTATTGACTTTACATAAATAAGTATATTTTTAAATTGTTTATTTTAAATGCTTTCTACAACAGATAATGTTTCATTCTACTCATGTATATGAATATAGAATCACATAGGTCACTGAATTGATACAAGATTTTACCATTAAATATAAACATAAATACGAAAATAATTTTAAATTAATAAATATAAATAAAGTATTGAGAATGATTTTTCTTCGCCCATCAAATAAATATTTTTCATTCAGTAATTAATATAAGAATGAATAAAATTACTGTTTAAAAATTAGAAAGTAAAAATATGCTAAAAGTTAAATTAACTTTGATATAATAAATTCGAAATAATTTTAGTTATAATTTCTATGCATAACAAGAGATGTAAAACGATTTCATATAATTTTAAATATAAAGTATTTGTACTTCACAAGTATGCATTTTCTTTCAACTTATTAACGTATAAAGCATTTATCGTTATAAAAGCAAAAATTTCGATAATAATTAATCTATTAAATTGATATAGAACTTACTAATCCTTAAAATACTATGATAATTATCATTAATCGCTCTAGCTCGAAATAGTTTATGCGGTATAAATTCATAAATTCGTAATAATGTCTTTAATAGCATCGTGTCCACATTCTCATAGGAAAGTAATTTTCTTCTTCCAACATTCACGTACTAAAATCAATTTGTCCTGTAAATATCATTATCACGTTACTCAAATGATCTGTATGCTCCATGACTTTAAAAATATTTTTTACTCTTTTTTATCGTACAAATTAAAAATGTAATTTTTTCGATTAAATGTACATTTGTATGTACAACAAAATTCTAAATATAAATTATACTTGGACATAAATAATGATTATTTATATTTTTAAAATATAATAATAGTATAGATGATATATAATAGTAACTAATTTTATTAAAAATTATAAAGAATGAAAACTACAATTTATAAAGTATTATATTTCTTAAAGTATCTTTCCTTACAATAACTTCATATCCATTATTTTTGCAAAATTAAATTGAATCATTTTTTATATATTTCTTGAAAATATTATAGGTACTTATATAGGTACGTATAATACATTTATTAATATATAAATACAAAACTGTAAAAAATAATTTTAAATAATCGAATAAAATATAATTTATATATCTATAATAAATATATCAGTCTGACTGTAACAACGGATATAAAAATTATTTAGGCTATTTTTCTCTATCTACTATATTATTGACTTCGATATTTCAAGAAAAAAATTAATATAGTGATTATAATTGATATTATATTTTAAATAATTATTAAAAATAATAACGAGTGAATATTAAGTTAAACATTTTCCTTATTAAATCATTTTTAAAATTTCTAAATAATATTTATAATATAATAAAAAATTAAAAGTACTATATTTATATATAAATTTAAAAAAAAGTAATTTTTACTAATTAATCGATAATATAGATTAATATAATTTTATTAATAAATTGGTAGGTAATTTTTATTCAATAATTATTACTCAAAAATTAGTATTCAATTAAAATGTAAGTTAATATGATCACTCTTCTAAATCGCTTTTAATTTTCAAAAAAAATAACGTCTAAAGAAATAAACGATTAATATCGTTCTAAAAATAGATCGAACAATAAATCATAAATTTACATCGTATCTTTTAAAATTACTAATATACACACAGTTTCTTAATAATCTATCGACCAATGCTTATTCACTTTTTACATAAAAAGGAAAAATCTATTAATTTGAAGCAAAAAATAATAATTTGAAATTCCTGATAGGATATCATTTTAAAGTTTGCGTAACTTCATCTATATCACTATTATTCATTTGAAAAAAGAAAATTAAATATGTCATCAATCTATAGAATTCCTATTCTTTAATTATTCAAATTCCAATGTAAATTCCTCAATCAGAATTTATCAACTGTAAATCCTAACGACGACGGCATCAGCAATGTCAGTGCCTAAAAAATTCAAGCGCGAACAATGAACAGTTGAATAAGTAATAAAAAATTTTATGCAAATTAGAGTAATAGAATTTAGAAGAAAAAAATTGATATTTGATTTGCAAGTTAATTAAATGAAATATTGTCTAATATTTTGTATTTTAAAACTGATATCTGGACCAATATATAAATTCGATTATTTTTTATGTTAACTATTTCTCGGTTATATTAAAAGAGTATTTAAAACTTTTTTTAATTGATCGATTTATTATTATTTATTTATAAATTGAAAAATATAAGCAAATGATGCACACAATGATAAATTTTATTAATTTAAAAGTATAACTATAAGCAGAGTTACTTTAAAAAAATATGGTAAGTCATTATTAATAAATTAATACTGTTCAAAAAATAATTCCACTAATCTGACTCGTCAGCCAAACGTGTAAAAATCAACTTAGAACAAAAAACCCATTACATGTTATGTGGGGTTGCCGGGCAAGTAAAGGGTTAATGCGTCGATTCAATAATTAACACATATCTTTATTACTGCTGTTTAATTCATTTATTTTACTTTATTTCCAATGGGAATTATTAACCTTGGTGAAATTACACACGATCCTTATATTTCTTAATAATCTTGTGGTGTTGATATATCTGTTTATTGGATAATTAGAGGATAATCAATTTCTTATTCTCTGCATGTCACTGGTGAGATTATGATTTACTGTAACAAGAAGTAGGTTATAATCTATTGAATATTATCACTAAGAGGTTATGGTTATTGTAGTGCTCTGATCAAACAATATTATTACAATATTATTGTGTGTCAATTCAACACGTGTGCAGTTGCCCCTAAATATAGGTCGTAAGAGAGCCGAAATGGAGGTTATGCGAAGCTGTGCGCCATTTGTCGAGGGAACAACTTGTAGTTTAAGGGATTGAGAAGCCAATGTGGCTTTTGTAGCTGGTCTTGTTCAAGAGTATGTCCGGGAAGCTTCCGTAGTTGGACTTTATCCGTCCGTCTTCTACATAAGCCGAGAAATCAAGAATGAGTATTAGCTGTAAGGACTTACTTGCAGTGTATCGTGATTTTTCTAGTCTCTCTTCGGTGGCTTGTTATGACGTTCCCTTGCAATGTTGCAACTCTTCAGTTCTTCCTTGTCTCCAAGTGAGACCACAAGTGGTCAGGTCCCACGCAATCCAGTCTTGATGAGATCAATTCAACTGTACACTAATTCACAATAGTGGAAAGAACTTCTTATTGAAACTCAGCTAGCTAAACGACTTGTCTCTCCGGTCCTCCTCCGTGAGAGTAGGTCGTGACTTATCCTTCACTGTAAGAAGTATTTGGAAAGAGTAAGTGAGGGTACATTACGTAGTCCCTTCTTAAATGGTTCACTGATCCCGCTCCACTTGGGATCCCTTCTTCCTTTATTAATTAACCAATCAGTGGTTGATCTTGGGTCGCACAATAGATTATGCACGCCTTCATTTCCACTTCCTTCCGGGCTCAGTTCCGAATTTGCTAATTGGGAAAGTGTCGGAAGGTGGCGAGCCTTTTCCATTGGTCACCTCTCCTTGGTTGCCTCATCCCTCTCTGGGACTTGGCTAGAAGAAGGGTCCTCTTGGGCGTGGTTGATCTTCCAATGCGATCGACCAGATGTGGCATAGCCAAGAACAATGCAAGCATTGTCTTAAAGGCCGTGTGCGCACATACGGCTATTACAGGTTGTTGCACGTGCGGGGTTTTTGGATTGCAGTGAAATTTAGGAAATGTTTGTACTCGATACTTTACGCACATCTGATATTCGTTCACAATCTACCACTTCTTCACAGTAAACACATAAAGTTTTACTGCACCGGAAAAGCATGAGCACGTTTTTAGATAAGCAAGAGTAAATAAGCTAAATATTCACTGGGGTTTTCCAGATGTATTGCTCGTCTCGAATGTCCAGCGACCGTGGAAAGTCGTGGCAAGAAATTGTTCTCGCATTCTTGAACAAATACTAAATCCAAATTGAAAAGACAAAAAATTACCATTTACTTCGGTAAGCTATCTTCATAAAAATATATCGTATAAATTAACGAAATTAAATACGCTTTAAATTATTATGATTTATTCTTCTCAATTTATTTTATTGAATATCATGAAAATATAAAAGCATAGTACAATATTTTACTTTTATCAAGTAATTAACATATAATTAAGTGTTGTATTCATTACAAACAATAATAGTAATAACTTTCAATATGAAAATATTTTTATTAATATATTTATATTAATGAATTAATGTTCTGGCTATGAAAAAATCTGAAATAAAGCAATTTGCAATAAACAATAATGATCGATAACAAAGATTCTTTTGAAATATTCTTATTGTACAAGTGAATATCTTTTTGCAAAAAGATACGACATGTTGACAGAAAATTAAATTGAAGCAGAAAATGTACAATTAGTTGCATGTGAATAAGCTTACATTGCTTTCATTTATATAAGTTAACATTTTTTGGTAATGTTTTATTACAATGATGTAATTACAAACTCTCTTTAACCACAGAAATCCACCCTCGCAAAAACTTCCAGCACAAGTAAAATTAAAAATTCATCAATTACACCCTTATACTCGTATCTCGTCTCTAGGTCCTAATGTTGTGCATACTTTTTTCCAAGATATCCTTTTTGATCCGCGGATAGTCGGGATTAATCTTGAGCACCTCGTAGCACACGTCGATGGCATTTGCGTACTGTTTGCTCTTGAGGTAACAGTAAGCCAACCTGTAGCCAATGTTCAGCTTGAATTTACCCCCGTACTTCCATGCCTGAGCATACTTCGTAGCCGCTTCCCGGTAACTCTGCTCCTTCTCGGAGATGTGACCCGAGAGCTCGTGGGCCCTCACACAAGTTACATTATGCTGAAGCACTCGCTTCAGGAGCTCCGAAGCGAGATCATATTTGCTCGACTGCACGTAGATCTCGGCTGTGCAACAATTATTAAGAATACTCGTTTTATTTCCGTATGGCTTTTCAATGGAGTCTACTTACAAGTGTCGATTTACAATTTTATATAATTTTCCATACCGTTCATTTGAGCTTCGATGGCTTTTTTATTTATGGCCAAAACCGCTTGGCTCTATATAAATATTTATTACAATACAATACTTTTACTAATAATGTTTTCTTTATATCATAATTTAATCATAAACAAATGTTATTAATCTAATAATTAAAGTAACAATTCAGCTTATATTATTATAGGAAATGCATTGGTGTGTAATTAATTTTCTATATAAAAGCTTTACATTTATAAATATAAATACTATTAAGGTGTGTAGATTTTCAATTCGGTTAACTAATTACTTTAAAGCAATGTATATCCTAAGAAGAGACATAAATTAATTACTAAAAAAGAAAGGCAGAAAAATCTGTAAAATACATTTTATCTACAGCATTGTGCTTTTATTATTTTCATTTTAAACTAATTCAAGCACAGAATAAATTTATCGAGTAAGCGTTTTATTTCCTAAAGAAACAATTAATACGCTATGAAAATAAAAAGCATCGAACGAAAATAATATACATTATGTATTGCGCTTGTACGTCTGTGTATTCGCGTAACGTAAACAAATTCTTTTTTACCCAACAACAGCCAGCAACGTTCCAAGTATTCGGCATCCTCGAATGTCCACGTATTCTTACTAACGCGTTTTAAATGGTTTCGTGCGCGTGGCGTCTGCTTAAGGAGAATATGAGCCGTTGCAAGTCCTAGAGCCGGTCCTACGTGATCCCGAAGAACCTCCTGGCTTGCTAAAGCCGTGCAATCCTGGAGAGCTTGTTCGATATTGTGCTTCTGTTTCGAAGCGAGCAGGATAAAATTGCTCAATAACCGATGCGTTAACATCTCCTGAGGATTTCCCTTTGGATTTAACTCCTATCGAGACATAAAGAAATATATATATATAGAGAGAGAGAGAGAGAGAAAGTGAAAAAAACTTTAAAACTTCGATACAAAATTATGCTTTATAAATACTATTATTGGCTATGCTAAAAATCACAGTTTTACTTGAGATATAAATTTTTAATAAGTATCAAGTACTTAATAATTATGAATAAATTATGTTTTCCAAAACTTTACATTAAGAATTTATTCTCATTGTAGGCAATTTGAATAACGAGAGTGATTTGAAGATCGATAATTTCGAAACCACTAATAAAAGTTACATTCCTAAAACAGCTTTCACTACCTGCAAAAGCTTCTGCGCATTTTTAAGCGCCATACTCTTAGAATCATCAACATCCGTCTCATCATCAATGAATATTTCTCTGGACAATGTAGAGTCATCATCGGGATCCAGGCAGATCTCGATCATGTTGTAAATAGCCTGTTGTCCCCATTCGGGATCGCGTCGGACCGCGTTGAATTTCGTCAAGGCCGAGCCGAGTTTACCGATCCGCCAGTCGAGAAGACCCGAACAGTAATAGAATCCAGGATCGGGCTTGGCCCTATCCATGGCACTTTCTGCCCTCGTTAACCATTCGCTGAGATCGTCAATATTCCCTGAGAAACGAACGTGCTAAGTAACATTACGAATGTTTTACGAAAAGAAAAAAAAAATAAACAATGGAGACATAATGGCAATCGAGCCGTTCGTTTGCCAATCAAATAGAAAACATTCTTCTACATTCGCACAGAATATATACACAATGTATCTGTAGTATGCATATCAAAATGGTAAATAGATGTAAAAAATGTCTTGATAAACTCAATATGAGTATTTATAAGAGACACATTAATTCATAATTTCATTGCATTGAAATGGTTACATTAGAATTAATATTCAATCGATGTAAACTATCACTAAAGTTATAAATAGTATAAAAACTGCTTACTACTAAAATTCGAAAGTGTATTTAATCATGCCTTATTTAGTGTTTTAGATTTAAGCAGTCACAATAATTTCACAATAATAAACACTTTATCATGTATAAATTACAGAATTAACAAATTCTAACCAGTCCTGCGGGAAACTTCAATTAGTCGAGCTAAAGCAGTCCAGTACGTTGGTTTTTGAAGTAATAGCTGTCGAAAATGAAACGCTGCGGTATCGAAGTCCACTTTTCGAAAAGCCAAATCAGCCATCATGACGCATGCTGCTTCATTGTTGGGGTCCGTGTTTAAGAGAATTTGACAGTATTGTGTGCACTTATCCAGTTCGTTCATCTTTAAATAGAATATATTTTTTATAATGCATTACTACAGACACATGACTTAATAACCATTTAAAGGGATAAATCAATCGTAGATATCGCAGAACAAGATCATCAATGATTTTTCTTCGTACCTGCATATATAATTTTGCTAAGGACAACAAGGCTTTAACATCATTGGGCTTGTAGGAGAGAGTTTCCTTATAATAATCTACCGCTGGGATAAACTGCCTTATCGATGATGAATGTTCAGCCATTGTGAAACAAATATCAGCTAATACGTTCTTCTGATCTAGCAGATTCGGTAACATCGTTGCTCTTTGAGCGTATCGAACTTGATTTTCCTTAGCTTCGCTCAATGTAGTTAAAGCTCCTTTTAAGTTACCTGCTTTTTCCCGCACTTTTGCAAGCAGTAATAACTGTTTTCCTCGCATTTCCAAAGTCTGAATATCATTGACTCCTCGGCCATCTACAGTTTTTTAATGATACTGATATTATTTTCCAATTATAATTACAATAAGAAAATAATCGTTTAAATAATACGATTAAATATTAATGGCTTGTAAAATATGAGTTTCTAAATTAATATTAAATTATTCGTTTTACCTTAAATAAATTCACCAAAAATATCGAAATTATTACTAAAATTAAATCCTTTGTTAAACATTTTTTATCGATGCGTTAATTCACAATTTTATCGGAATTTGATCATCCACGTTTTAAACTATATGATTATTATTAATTCTACTGGTTAATTAATGCTCTCCAAATAATAAATACATTACATTGACAATTGTTTGAACCATATTCGTTAAAACTCAATTGTTAAAAATAAATATGATAATTGAATATTCATTAAAAAACATTAAAAAAAATGACATTGAAGATATATTATACATTTTATTTAAAAGACATACCATTGAGCTCCTCAACTAAAGCCTCCTCTGCTTTATCAAATTGCTTAAGCTTCATTAAAAGTTCGGCCATATCCAGCTTTAATTCCCTGCATCCTTCCACTTTGACTACCTCCTTGTAGTAGCTAATGGCTTTAGAGTACTGATGTGTCTTCATCAGTGCAATTCCCATTTTTTTTGCAAGTGCCTTGTTCTTGGGATTATTTTTTTGCGACAATTCATAAGCCTCGATTGCACGCTCTGGCTCTTGAATTGACATGTAAGCGTCACCCAACATGTTATACGTCTCGGAACCAGGACAATTTTCCACCAAATCTCTGAAAAAATAAGTTTACATTCGCGCCTGCATTGTCAGTTATTACTTAAAATGTTTTGTTAAATATAACAAAAAGATACTGGGACCGAGAAATTACATAAAATTGGATACGGATACTTTCATAAAAGTACCCGTACTAAACAGTATCGTTAAATAAGATAATCATTAATAAAACGCACAAAATCGATATTTATATATAGCCCTAATTTATATATGTAAATATTCAATAAGAACAGAATAAAAACTCCACTTTGACGCTATTTCCTAATACTAATAATTAACTTCTAAAATAATATCTTAAAAATCGCCTAATTATTCACACGTATTTCATATTTTTACATGTTTACATAATTTATATATTAAAATATTTTAACAAGCTCTATTGCCCTACCATGAATTAGTTTCAAATGTCTTTGCCTACCTAAAGCACTTGGCAAACGAGTTCCGATCCTTTCTACGTTGTAGATGTATATCAGCAAGTTTGGTATGAGCTTGCACATAATACGGCTCTCCAGGTCCAATACTTGAAAGCATTTCTATTGCCTGATCAAGTTCATCCATAGCCAAGTATAGCTCCGCATGGCCGATAATGATACGACCCTCTTCCGGACTAGAAAGAAGCTGCGCTCGGGCATCTTCGATCAATGTTGTTGCATCGTCAAATTTCCGTAGATCCAAGTATGCTGATATCAGTTCTAAATAAAGCGTCGCCTTGTCCGATACGGTGATATTAATTACGGGTTCCATTGTTTCTTGATTCGGACTCAAACCGGCAAGCGACATCGCCTTATTTAGATTCTTAATAGCACCTAGGTTTTCGGTATTTTTATAAATGAGCGAACTTCCAATTTAATTACCGAATGCATATTCTAAGGTTTATTCATATATATATATATATATATATATATATATATATTCATTATATATTTAAAATATATTTAAAACAGTAATCGCATATTCATAACATTTATTTTTATATTTTAAGCATGTTTTTAATAGCTTGTAAATCAATGAATATCTGGGGAAACTTGAAACTTTGAATAAGCCTTTGGATAATTTGAATATAGAACTATCTATTAAATACTGAGCTACTTATAACATCGATACATCATCGTTTTAATATAGAAAAGAAGCCTTAAAGATTTTTTTTTGGTTATCGATGCCACGATCTACTGGATATATTACTAACACTATTGCGATATACCTTTATTAAACACAACTTATTATTTCGATATTATAAAATTATTAAGACTATTCTATAATTTACTATTTTTATTATTATGATACAAACTACATTGCCTCGCGACAAAAGAAATATAATAATTTCTTATAATGTAGATATTATTATCATTATAAAATTTAAATATTATACATACATGATTCTAAAGAAACAACACGATTGTCTTGAATTGAATCAAACTTACAAATAAAGTATAATTTTTTATCCGAAGATTATATCAAATTTTTGTCTTAAAATTAAATGTGATAATAAGTTAATAACTAAAATAATAGTAGTGGCTTCATCAGAATAAATCAATTTAATAAAAATGATAATTGAATTTGATAAATTTAACATTATTACTATTTGAAGCATAATGTTAAATATAATTTAAATATAAATTTTATGTATACCTTCAAGATCTCCACTTTCCTTTGCCACTGTACCAATAATCATATGGTAAACTGGATCGTCTCTGACCTGAAAATTGTAACTCAAACCTACTTCTAAAGTTTGCGAGGCACTTTCGTAATGGCCCTGTTTGACGAGAATTCGAGCCATTAATAAATGACCTGCTGCATTAGTTCTATCAACTGAATCCAATAATTTCTTTAAAACAACTACAGCTCCTAAAATTAAAAAATTATGTTACAACAAAACACAATAAACAGAAAATTAAAAAAAATTAGATAATAAAAAAATGTTAAAAGCATGGTTTACTTTAACCAGCTGTGTTTTTATTTACTTAAAATTTGAATTAATTAGTTATTTATTACTAGAATTTGTTAGTTATAAATCTGAATCGAAACTGAATTATAAGAAAAACAACTAAATAAACCATTCAAATCTCCGAACTGCATTTTAATTCTTCCCATCAATAGTAAAGCAGCGCCAAGTCCGGGATTAGCTTCTATAACAATTTCCAGCAGCCTGATACACGAACTCTTTTCAATTTCGCTGCTTTTAAGTACATTACTGTTTGGTGAATGATGAAGATATTCTTGCACAATATCCATGCATAAATCAGTATTGAGCTTGTTTAAATATTCATAACCGTAGCAGTAACAAGAGCAATTCTAAAAATGAATTTATAATAGTTTATGATTAAAAATGTCATTTATATTTAAGAGCAAATGTTTTAAAAATGAAAATAATGATTATAAAATAATAATAATGAACAAAATTTCGACTTTAAACTATTGAATAAAAAATGATTATGCCTCCATTAATCATTCACTTTCCCATATCTTTCTTTCCTCTCCTCTCAAAAGTCCGATCCTACCTCAATTAAAGCCAAGGCAGCCTTATCCAAGTGCTCGAGTGCCTTCTGCGAATTGTTGCGATAGAGCTTCGCAAACATAAAGAGTAGCTTGGAACTGGGATGGCTAGACGAGTGAAGCTCCGTAAGGAATTCGAGTTGCTGCTTCGCGAGATTCTCAACTTCACAAGACACGTCCTGAAGTTGGCAGCGTGCAAGGCCCATCAAACCGTCGTACGATGACTCGTCAAGACGCACCGTTCCACGGTACCAATTCTCTGCCTCCTGGTACTTATCCATGAGGATACACATATTACCAAGCTGAACCATTAGCGCCGCATTTCCTGGCTTTATCAGAAAATAGCAAAATTCAGTTGCGCTCAGACTTTTTAACTCTTATAGGGCGTGCAGTCAAAGATGACACTGGTACATACGTTCTGCTGTTGCATTTTGTCGACGAACTTGAAAAGCTCGGAAATAATGCTCTCGTTCTTTACAGCGATTCTCGAGAAGAGCTTAATATTGTCGATGAAAAGATTGATATTTTTGGACTCGGCAAGTATGAGATTTCGAAAAAATGCTTGAACGTGCTTAACAGCTTCGTTATAATTTCCTTCCCTACATATCACAATCAAGGCCTTTAATTTAAAGACATCGATATTAGAGTTGTCGAATGATAAGATTCTATTAGATATCTCGGCAGCTTGCTCCCACTCCTTCAGTGCCAATAAATTGTTGATCTTCTCAACCAATGGGGCGGATATTTTAGGATATCGCACTATTAATTGATTTAATATAAGAATTGCCCCAGAATGATCGCCTCGTAGTTCTCGATATTTTGCATTGAAATGTTTATTATTCTCTTTCAAGATCATTTCAAAGTAGTTACCTAATTTATAAGACGAATTTTTTTATCGTACTTTATTATTTCCAATAATTATTATAAAATAAAAATTATATTTTCAAATATTCTACATGAGCTATGAAAATTATACTCAAACTTTAATTTCAAATATAGAATGAGCTGATTTTCCGATAAACAGATAGTAACTTAACTTACGTAATTTAAAAATATCTTTTTCGTAAATATCCATTTAAAATATTACTATTAAATTTACATATTACTTTCAATTAAAAAATAAAACACATATGGAGAAAAAATTCTAGAAGTACTGGAATGTAGTAATCATACCGTAATAATCAGAAAATAACTCAATTTTCTTTATCTGACATTATAGATTTACGAACCGAAATGACGATGAAAAAATTTAAGCTACATTTTTACTATTTATTAATCATTATCTTTCTTAACTATTATTTAAAAGTTATTCTTAATTAGTTACACATTTAAATTAAATATATACCAATATATTTTTAATATACTTTAATAATTCATAATATTGTTTGATTAAATTTCTAACCAGGATTTTGTGTCAAATCGTCAGAAGTCATTGAACACCATCCTTTTGACAGAAGAACAAAAATATCTAATGGACTAAGTATATAAGCTCGATCGGAATATTCTTTTGCACTATCGAACTTTTTAAATAGAAGGAGAATCATCGCAGCAAGGGACAGTGCCTCAGCAGAAGCTTTCTTTCGATTTTCTTTGATTTTTGTATCAATCTGAGCTATAGCCAATCGATCAGTTGTTTCTTGATTTTTGTAGATATGACTTTGAATATGCAAAGCCGACAAAAAGGCAACTGCGTAGTCTTCTGCAGATGCCTGTCATTATTAAGAAATTTTAATTAATAATATGTTAAAAATTGTCGATAGTAAAGTAGTTTTCACTAATATTTCGGAAAGGGCTACTACTAACTATTTTTATAATTTTATGCAAGAAAATACAAGAAAATTAATATAAATAATATTCTAACCAGTGAGGAAGTCTCCTTAAATGCATCTTTGTAATGATTATTTAAAGTAAATGACAATGCTAGTAATACTCTCAATCTTTCGTTAGAAGAATATGCATCTACAGCCTGTCTTGCATAAGATAGCATATCACTGAAGTACTGTTTCTGACAGTACCATTGAATAATGCTTTCATATTCTATTTCTTCCATTTTTGTAAATAATTATTTAAATATAGAGTCAATGTAAATACTGAAATGAAATAATAAGCTTTAACTATATATATTACCTTTTGTACTTTATATCTTTATACTTTATACCTTTATACTTGATAATTTTTTATATATTACCTTTTACTTTTGTGTTACATAAAATTCTTTGAGATCAAACATTGTATGACTTAATATGCCATTAACATACATAAGCTCATTTTTTGTCTATATAAACATGCTAAATATAAATAACAATCATTAGATAATACACATAAAATAGGTCTATAATATAAATATGATTTTAACCACTCCATATATTATATGTAATTAGAATTAAACACATATCTGTTAATAACCTTACTGCAAACCTACTTTTGTAGCAATTAAAAATATTTATACTAAATTCTCTTCAAAAAAAAAAAAAAAAAAAAAAAAAAAATTAAAAATAAAAATAGAAATTTAAATAAATTGTTATTTTACCATACCGTAATGATTTTAAATAATTAACAAATTTTGTAAACTATTTCCTTTTTATTCAGTATATAAAAAGATTAGATTTCCAATTAAGATTATTTTATATTTAATATTTAATCAATAATTTTATTAAGTTTATTGAAACTTACTTTATTTTATTTAAGCAATTTTTTAATTCAACATTTTAATTTAAATTAATTAAAATTTATTACTATATGATTAGTTTATAATATAAAATACATTTGTATATAAAATAATAATATCTAAAGAACTGAGGTGTATTATTTTCATTAGAAAATATTGCAATATTCAGAATAGAATAAAGTACTGAACCAATCAAAATACATAATACAAATATATATTATCGCATTTAATATATTATATACAAAAAATTACGATACAAATTATAAAATTAATAAACATACTGCTTATCTTTTCAATAAATAGTTTGAAATTAATTAAAAGTAACTAATAATGAATTAGTTATGATTCAATTTAATGCAAAAACTAAAGCTTAACTCGAATCTTAAATTAACATTGAATTAGATTATTATATTGTTGTTAATATAATTTGTAAAAACATAGACAAATCGCTACCAAAAAATATTCACACTTTATACACAAGAATACTTGAGGTTATGTTTGAAAACTGTTTGGTTCATATTTAGTACCGTTGCTTGGCAACGTATATCATACATATGTCGTATTAGCATAACAGATTGTACTTATTTCCATATTAAAACATGAGAAATAACGAAACAGATAAATTATAATTTAGTTAAAATTTTAAATAAGATATCTTATTTAAATAATCACTTCAATATTTAGAATTTATTGTTATTACAAATGTTCGGTATTTCATCAATTATATACCTAGAAATCCATATTTTATTGTTAAAAATAGCGTATAATATTAATATAACATTATTTCAAAGAAAATTGTGTGTGTGTGTGTATGCGTATGTAATTATTTAAATTTATTTAAATCTAATTCCGTAAGATTTATCTTAATTATTCAATGTTCATTACATATCTAATTCTATAAAATATTTCTTTTTCCATTATTTGCAAACACTAATTCTAATTAAAAAAGAAAGAAAGATATTTAACAACTTCAAATTAGAACAACCCTAATTATATTAAATGTACTTTATATTATATATGTACTTCTAATTATATAAATTTAATCATTTATACATTTATACGATAATTTTATGTAAGAAGTGGTAATGTTACGATAAATAAAACTACAGAGTATGGAGAATCAAATTATGCAAGTGCTTTTAAGATTATTTTAGATGTTTGAAAATGAACCGTTTTGAAAACTCATTGATATGCAGAAAGTACACGATCCTGTGAATACGAGGATTTAGAAACTTTGTGTATGAGGAAGTAACCGATAAATTACAGTATTTTAAGTTTTGACTTAAAGTTTAAAAGGTCTGCTCAACCTGCTACAGTGGAGATAGTAAAGTACATGTTTCTAATCAGTGGACACTTTAAACGAGATGTTTTTAAAACTATTTATTCGTAATTGTTGACCAAAAATGTTGAAGAACTACGCTATTTAATTAATATGTATATATCACTTAATATATGAAAAATTTCAAAAGTTATTTTTTCTTGCGCATGTTGAGACAATTAGCTTTTTCACAAAATATTATAATTCAAAAAAAGAAAGAACGGCACAGACTTTTAATGCATGCTTTAAATGACTTATTTAAGTTATATTATATTACTTCGAGCCAATTTTAAAAGAAATATTTGATTTTATCAAAAATTAGTAGCATTCCTGGCTTTTCATTTATAAAGATAACATTTTTTAAAACTTATTAACGTATGAAATGAGAGATTTTATTTTCATTAAAAACTAAATAAATAAATACCATTTAATAATTAAAATTTTAATAAAATAAAATTTAATTACCGACGATCAAAGAGCAAAAGTGCAAGTCCAGTGGAGTAACATCCTGTTAATCACAACGCGCATGCGTATCTTTAAAATTCTACTACGAAAGTCAATTTCACGATGCTACTCGCATGACGCGGAAACACATACACGTCAATGAGCTTAGTGCAACAGCAGGCAGCGTGGGTTATATATATACATGCATATTTCAGTCGTTGCAAGCATTGGAATTTGTGTTAGTTAGTCTGTCAAATGTTGCCTCGGCGGGCTGTTGTTGACCACGAAATAGCTCGACGGCATTTCCCTACCCGCTTGCTTGCGCGTT